CTGACTGAGGGAGGTTTTTGTACGACGCTTTTTCACTGTGTGAACAACCACTGACTGTTGATAGCATGAAAACTCTGACAGTAGTAAACTGCTGCATCTTCAGTCTGGACTCCACTGATGGTCAGAGTGAAGTCAGAGTTTGATCCACTGCCTGTAAAACGACCTGGAATCCCTGATGCTCGAGTGCTAGCAGCATAAATGAGCAGTTTAGGAGTTTCTCCATCTCTCTGTTGGTACCAGGCCAAAGCATGGTAGCTGCTCCAAGTATAGACATTCTGACTGGTCCTACATGTGATGGTGACGGAGCGTCCCAGAGCAGAGCTCACTGCTCCAGACTGAGTCACTGTGACCTGGCCTCTGGACTCTGAGGATACAGAGACAAAAACATAAAGCAGCGTCATGGTTTTGTGGGCTTCATTTCAGAGGGACGGTGTTCATAGAGGAGAGGAGTTTGATTCTCTGGACTTTACCTGTGAAGCAGCAGCAGAGGAGAGTCCAGATGAGGACGGAGATCAAAGTCATGTTTTTGATGAGGAGGATTTCTGTGTCTTCTGTTGTCATGAAGGACAGCTGTCAGTCATCCAGTGTTCAACTCTCAGGACTATAAACTCTCCCAGAGCACTGGAGCATGGTGCTGCTGATGCAAAGTGGCTCTCTATGGAAATGCTCTGACTGACTCCAACAGGGACTTGGATTCCTCTCATGATGCTGTTTATCAATGGATCAATCACTTTATCAGAGTATTGATTAGGAATGTGTCAGTGCTCATTTGTATGAGGCTTTGCTTTCAGTTTGATGGACACATTTTCTTCCAGAATATTTAGTGAATTCCCCTAATTCACTACCACACAGATCAACATCACTGTGGGACACATTTAAACAAATATATTATCTTTTATTTATTTTATATTCATCATAATATACAATAAACATGTGTTTATGATCATTATTTACATTTGTCATCATTTATTGGAGACTTTTACTTTGAAATATCTTGTTTCATCGTTTCAATGTAACATGAATTAATACAGCTTTTATCATACAAAAAAGATTAAATATATATTCATAGTTTATTTTTTAGACACTTTAACCAGTTATTAGATGAACTGGGTAAACTGGGAATGCGCTTGCTGAGTTTGTTTGTGTCAAAGTCAGAGAGCCGTGTCTCTCTACAGTGAGAGGTTTTTGTACGGCGGCTCAATGAGTTTGTATCACTGTGGTGGACTTTTGGTGGAGGAACCAGACTGGATGTTGGAAGTAAGTCAAATCTTTAATTTTTTTATTATTTCAGGACATATTTGTCTTTTGATATATATTTCAGGAAGAATTCTTGATTTTTCATATTAATGTATATCTTCTGCAGAAATATTTTACACTCAGAGACAAACTTTGCATCAGGAATATAAATTCAAAACCTCACTGAAGTCAATTTAAAATATCAATACAGAATATGAATCAGTAATTCCAACTTTAATGGTAAAGCTTCATCTTGAGGGTTTGTAGGTTTAGTTCAGTGTGTCAAAGTCAGAGAGCCGTGTCTCTCTACAGTGAGAGGTTTTTGTACAGCGGCTCAATGAGTTTGTATCACTGTGGTGGACTTTTGGTGGAGGAACCAGACTGGAAGTTGGAAGTAAGTTTCTGCACAAATACTAAATACAATATTGTAAAGTAATGTTTTATATACAGTCTTTGGATGTTTGAAGCAGACAGATATAGTTTGTTTTAATTTAAACACTTGAAGTATTCATGTTTGTACCTGTCCTCCTTCATCATGGAGGCTAACTCTTTGTTCTTTACACATTCCTGTCAAACTGCAATTCAAACAGCTTGAAGTGTAGAAAAGATAAAACTGCAAACCTTTTTGTACAAATGTTTCATTTTTAAGATTCACTTTTACTTTTTGATGTCAGAAATAACTGTTTTTAAATTAATTAAGATAAAATTATTATAGTCAAATTGAACGTAGTGAAGATAAAGATGAGTAAATGTTCAAAATCTCTTCATAGTGTTATATATTGTTCTAAAGTTACAGTTTGGTAATGATGATTGAAATCCATATGAAGAACATTTGATTGTAGTCAGTTCATTTTCTGTGTTTGTTCATGTTTCCACTAAATACTTTAAAGTAATGTATAGTTCAGGTTTTGGATGATTTTGATGATACAGTTTTTGATATTTTATTTCCAGTGTAGTTTGATATATTTCAGCTCATTCTGTATGATGATTCTCTCTGTGCTGATATGCATGAGAGGCTTCTTAAAGGGAAGTGAAACAATGTGTGAGTGAGTGACTGGTGGAGCAGAAAAACCATCTGACAGAAACTCCTTAAAGGAGAAAATCAACTCTCACACGGTAAAGGTGTCCAAGTGTCTGCTGCTTGATTGACAGCTGTGTGGTCCCTGTCCTCTAAGCTGATTGGTGTCTCCTAGGTGATGTCCGTCCCACCCTGACGGTGCTGCCCCCCTCCAGTGAGGAGCTGCAGCAGGGGAAGGCCACGCTCATGTGTCTGGCCAACAAGGGCTTCCCCTCAGACTGGAGTCTGTCCTGGAAGGTGGACGGCAGCAGCAGCAGCAGCAGCAGCAGCTGGGAGCAGAGCAGGAGCCCCGGGGTGCTGAAGGACGGCCACTACAGCTGGAGCAGCACCCTGAGGCTCTCTGCAGACCACTGGAGGAAAGTGGGCTCTGTGACCTGTGAGGCCACCCAGGGCTCCCAGACTCCGCTCTCAGAGACACTGAGGAGAGACCAGTGTTCCTAGTCATAACCTGACTCACTGGGACTCTGCTACTGGTTTTACTCTGCTACTGCTCTCTGCCTTTTTCTTTTTCTCATTACATATTTGAACAATAATGTGTTTTCAGCTCAATAATATTCCTATGAGACAGTACAACTTCACCAAAGGACTCAACATGAAAAGTCAGCAGAATTAACACATTGTCATCTTTCACTGCTTGCTGTAATACTGATGTTCCATTAAAGAATAAAAATATATTCATCAGATCAAATTTGTCAGTGTATCATTAAATACTGTATATTCATATTTGTATATATTGCTGTGTAAAACAGTGGATCCTTTTATTCCAAACACACTGAGTTGTCTCAGGGTCAGATAGCTGGATTTTAACATATCAGGTGATGATGTTAGAAATATTGCTCAGTGTCCTACTCTGTACTGAACTGTGCTGTATCACATCATTTTTTCATGATTTAATCAACAAGAAGAGACTCGCAATGTTTTAGATTCATAAACGGTGTTGATAATGATACATCATTTATGAAACAAATTCATTTTATTCTGTTGAGATCTCAAATTATTTCAACAAAAATTACTTTTTTTCAAAGCGAATATAAAAAATATAAATATAAATATTGTCATTCCTAAACATTTGTAAGTTTTTTTATAGATTCACTGAGTATATGTTTTTATGTTACTCAAACTATAATGTTTAAGAGCTAAAATTATGCAGCTGTCATTCTGATTTTCAGCAATCTTCTTTTTTTCATCAGGAATGGCACAAAAATTACTCCTAAAAATTATATTGAAGAAAAATATGAAAAATATTTTCTTGTTGAAAGTTGAACAATGTATGTTAATCCATCATGTAGTGTTTTAATGTCTGTGCAGCTGTTGATTGAGATCAGTTCCTCTCCAGCGGAGGGAGGTTTTTGTACGACGCTTTTTCACTGTGTGAACACATACTGACTGTTGATGTAATGAGCACTCTGACAGTAGTAAACTGCTGCATCTTCAGTCTGGACTCCACTGATGGTCAGAGTGTAATCACTACCAGATCCGCTCCCACTGAAACGATCTGAAACTCCAGACTGACGGGTTGAACCACAAGTAATTAGGAGTTTAGGAGATTCTCCAGGTTTCTGAAGGTACCAGCTGAAGCAGTAACCAGTGCTTGGACTAACGTTACATCTGATAGAGACAGTCTGTCCTGGAACAACAGACTGAGCTTTAGGAGACTGAGTCACAATGACTTCTCCTGATGAATCTGGAAAACATGAAAAAGAAAAGGAGAAGGGTTATTGAGACAAATCCAGTTTGGAGAAAGATGATCAACATCCAAACAGAAGAGTATCATTTCTTTAACATGGAGAATAGATGGAAGAAGGTAAATGCTGCTTGTTTCAGTGTTTCTCCATCATAGCAGAACATCATTGTGGTGAACCTGGTTGCATCCTGAAGCAAAGTTTTCAGAAGAGAGTCTCACCCTGAACAAGGAGCCCCAGGGTGGCCAGCAGTAGAGTCAGTGACATCCTCATTGTGCTGCCGGCGTGTCAGTGGCTCTGAAAGGCCTGGACAGCCACTGATCAACACTGGCCTCTTAACGGCTGGGAGCAGAGAGGAAGGACACATATGCAAACACACAGAGTCAGTGAACTGTAGCTGTCCTCAACATATCATGGTGTTTCCCCCTCAGTGCTGAGAGCATTGACTATTTAAATGATCTATAATATGATGGGTTTGACCTGTGATTGAGAACAGCAACTGGTTTTCATAAAGCAGTAAGGGTGGATATTATTCTGTTAAATTATATTGAACTCAATAGTCTTTATCACCAAGGTGCATTTTGCATGTTCTGATTTGATACCATACATACAGTTATTGGTGTGAAATGAATAGAATCAGAATATTCCTAAACATGTCTTCCAAAGGATAATAAAATATTTTCTCCCTCATTGAAGTTTTCTGTTTGTTAAATCTGTTTCAGGGGATGGGTGGCCTTTCCCACATTATTATTAAAGTATTTCTGATTCTGATTCTGATCCAATTTGAAAGAAGGATGTTTCAACAAATAAAACAAGATTCTAGTTTATTCTTTCAGTTAGATTATAACATTATTTCTGTTGCATTGCTCGGTTACTTCTAGATCTTTCTATCTTCATCCTTATCTTTATTTATTTATATTTTAAAAAGTACTTATTTTTTGTGTGATTTTTATGCACCAATGCACCAAGACAAATTTCTTGTTTGTGTAAAAACTTACTTGGCAATAAACCCAATTCTGATTCTGATTCTGATTCTACTTACTCTCCTGTCATTCCAGATCCAGCCACTCTCTCCTGTCCTGCAGTAACTCTCACTCCGCCCTTTGCACCATCAGATCTTCCCTGCCCACTCACTCACCTTTCCAAATAGACCCTTTTCACAGCAGACATTTTGAGTGATCAAAGCAGGTCATTCACAGGTTTAATAATAACATTAACACTGGCCCAATTTCATTCAGTGTCCCAGTAAGGCCTTTCAGTGAGTGAGCATGCACAGTACCAGAGCTCTGAGACTGGCTCACCTAAATGTAATGAAGCCATCATTAATGTAATTAAATACACCTGTGCTTTTCCTGCTTTGGCAAGTCAAAATGTCTGCCATGAAAAGTGTCTATTCCCTTAATCAGTTCAGTACCATATACAGATTCATTTCCACTGTTCTCCTGCAGACTGTTTAGTTTGTGTGTGTGTGTGTGTGTGTGTGTGTGTGTGTGTGTGTGTGTGTGTGTGTGTGTGTGTGTGTCCTCAGTGAAGTGTATCAGTCTCTGCAGTAGCTTCCAGCTGCAGCAGTCAGTTCAGTTTCTGTTCAGTCTGACTGAGGGAGGTTTTTGTACGACGCTTTTTCACTGTGTGAACAACCACGGACCATTGATGTAATGAGCACTCTGACAGTAGTAAACTGCAGCATCTTCAGTCTGGACTCCGCTGATGGTCAGAGTGAAGTCAGAGTTTGATCCACTGCCTGTAAAACGACCTGGAATCCCTGATGCGCGATATGTTGCCCTATTAATAAGCAGTTTAATGGCTTCTCCATTTCTTTGTTGGTACCAGGCTAAAAGGTCTTTGTTGTCCCAAAGATTCACTTTTGGATTGGTCCTACATGTGATGGTGACGGAGCCTCCCAGAGCAGAGCTCACTGCTCCAGACTGAGTCACTGTGACCTGGTCTCTGGACTCTGAGGATACAGAGACAAAAACATAAAGCAGCGTCATGGTTTTGTGGGCTTCATTTCAGAGGGACGGATGTTCATAGAGGAGAGGAGTTTGATTCTCTGGACTTTACCTGTGAAGCAGCAGCAGAGGAGAGTCCAGATGAGGACGGAGATCAAAGTCATGTTTTTGATGAGCAGGATTTCTGTGTCTTCTGTTGTCATGAAGGACAGCTGTCAGTCATCCAGTGTTCAACTCTCAGGACTATAAACTCTCCCAGAGCACTGGAGCATGGTGCTGCTGATGCAAAGTGGCTCTCTATGGAAATGCTCTGACTGACTCCAACAGGGACTTGGATTCCTCTCATGATGCTGTTTATCAATGGATCAATCACTTTATCAGAGTATTGATTAGGAATGTGTCAGTGCTCATTTGTATGAGGCTTTGGTTTGGGTTAATATATTTCATGTCACTGTAATTGTTATTTCTAACAGTTTGTACATATAAAGTTTACCAAGAAGTATTTTGTCTTACAAAAGTATTATTAAAAGTTTAAATATTTCACTCCAAATACAGGACCAACAATTGTTGAGAGGTTTAACTTGATTTACATATTTCACACATTGTATGTCACAACAGATAATCTTAAAACATCACTATTAAAACATATATTTAACTGTGAGTAGGTTTGAATTAATGAGTTTCAATACACAACTCAGTAGTTAACAATGTTCAATTTGATTGTACAAAGCAAGCACACACCATCGAGGAATTTCCTTTTCTTTTTTGAAAAACAATAAAAACCTGCCATTTTTCATGCTCGGTAATATATTTTTTGCTTTAAACCTAACAGAGGAACAATGTGCCACTGTAACATTTTATCTTCAGTACTGAAACCTGTCTGTTGCCATGGTTCAGCAGTAATGCCTGTCTGTTGCCATGGCGACTGAGTTCAGAGAGGGAAGTGAAACATTTAAAATCCTTTTAAACTAAACTCTAAGCTTCTCCAAAATGTCTTCTCCCTCTCTCTCTCTCTCTCTCTCTCTCTCTCTCTCTCTCTCTCTCTGCAGTGGGTTGAGTCGTCCCCATCCTGATGGTGCTGCCCCCCTCCAGTGAGGAGCTGCAGCAAAGGGAAGAATATTATTATTTAAACAGAAGTCTCATTCTATTGTACATCTACAATTTTTTAATTAATATTAAAGCACAATGAGGGATATTTTGTATTTGGCTGTGGTCATTTTATTGAACAATTCTGACATAGGTGAGAGTGGGGTAAGTTGAGCCACCCCTTGTTTGCCATGAAATGGTAAAAAACATTGATCATGTGACCAAATATTTAGGAGGAAGGCTTCATTTCATGGAGTCTGTGAATGTAAGAACCACATGGGTAAAGTGATTAGATATTTATTTCAAAAAAATCATTTTTCACTCTTGAAAGTGAATTGAGTCTATCATAAGTTTCATGAGAATTGTGTTTAGACCAAAGAAGATCATTTTAAATTTGTTTTATACATCAATTGTGGTATCTATGAGCTACAACATGAGCTCATAAACCTTGCATAAAAGAGCACCATTTTAGCTGTGGGGACTAATAAAGTCAAAATGGTAGATCTGGGGTAAGTTGAGCCATTTGGCCAGGGGTAAGTTGAGCCGGTGGCTACAGCCAAAATACACTCAATAAGTGTATCCAAAAACATATTCTGTGTATATTCCAAAAACACAGCTGTTAATGTTTTCTTCCGAAGCGCACTTTAAGGCATTCTCATGTTAAAATGTTTTTTCACAAAACAGCTGTTTAGCAGTAATATGCAATAATAATTAAAAAAAAAGTTATTGTACCTGTTACAAATACATAAAATACACATGAATGGGAAGAAGTGAGTGTTATTAAGGGAGGGAGAAGGTGAGGGAGGGGTGGGATGGAGGTGGGGAGGAGGGTCCGGGGGAGGGAGTAGGGATACGGCTCAACTTACCCCCCTCCCTATGCTCAACTTACCCCATACACGTGGTAAGTTGAGCCACGAGACCACTTTTTTTGGACATGCTATATTATCCAAACAGTTATGTTTACACTCATTCTGTTTGTTTGAAGGGATTCACAACATCCTAAAATATATGTATATATATTAGTTAGCAACAAAACTATGATTGCCTTGATGTAGTGATCCTAAATATGAAAAATGGCTCATCTTACCCCACTCTCCCCAAATGGTATAATAATGCAGGATGGATTAATGTGGGAAATTACACAGGATGTGTGTAAAATGACCTTTGGATAAATATAAGACAGTCTGAACAACAGTAGTATAAAGGGATATGACACAGAGGGAATCATTTGCTTTAATTTTAATTTTAAAAACATTCATATTTAGTGATTTGCAAATCCTCAAGCCCAACAGCAAAATAAAAAAAATGATTAAATTCTTTGAATTTGTTAAAATGAAAAAGACACTTAGTATACTTAATGAAGTGATCAGGATCAGAAAAGTAATTGAGTATGAATTAAGTGTTTCAGCTCAACACTGGACATGTTTATTAGATTTATCAGAAGAAGAATCTCACAAAACCCTGAGAAAATAATTTTAAGTTAAAAAAAACAACAGCTGTATTATCAATGATATTAACCTGCCTGTTGAAAGAGTTGACATCAAACTCTGACTGTGTTTGAATCCCACTCACAAATGAGATCAAGTTTTATTGTCACATACATAAACATACACAATACAACAAACAGTGAAATTCTTCAGCGTATAGCTCCAGAATGAGGAGATACAAGTAAAGTAAAGTAGATCAATAAAATAAAGATGAATCCAACAATAAAATATGAATGAATGTTTCTGCATTCTGCACAAAGTAAAATAGAAATATATAATGCATTATAAGCAACTGTTATGTGACCTCTGACCAGCAGGGGTCACCATGCACTCTAGTGCAGTTATGGCATAGTAACATAATACAAGGCCCTCAACTCTTACAGACATGAGCACATCATTGTCTTTACTCAGATGCACAGTTTTTAAACGGTTTATTGTTATTTGTTTAAAAGTTACATATTCATTTAGTTATTTATGTTTATGTTCATTTGCAATTTTTTTCAATATTTATTGTTTTAAAATTGTGTATTATTTATTAATTAAAGCCTGAACTGATAATAAAGTAGGCATTCATTTTCATTCAGAGATATTAAAATTACTGGGACCTTGAGGCCATTACCAGAGGAGTGATGGTGGTTTGGTCTTAGGATGGGCCTACTGCAGTGGTTTCCAACCTGGGGGTTGAGACCCCACTAGGTGTCGCCAAAGTTTCATGCGAGTCCATAATTTTAAAGTGTGTAAGAAACCTTTGAAAGTATGCACCGTAAGCCTATATGTCAGCATTTTGTTTATTTCTGTGAAGAAAACTTCATGATTGTTTCTGTATAATTGTTATTTTTGAAGTTTAGATTATTATTTAAGATCTAAACTCATTATTAATTAGGACTTTCACAAAAGTTATATTCACAGAGGTTTAACTCTCTGATTAACGGCTTCATCCTGCATTAGAAAGGTACACAGTTCAAACAACCAAAGAACTCACAGAACAATGGCCAAGCATCAAGTAGTGCCTACAATGGGCACGTGAGCATCAGAACTGGACCACACAGCAATGGAAGAAGGTGACCTGGTCTGATGAATCTCATTTTCTTTTATATCTTGTGGATGGCCAGGTGAGTGGGATAGATGGTGAGAAGCTGTGAGGATGAACTTTATTGATTTTAATAGGTTTTATTGTCCATTATCTCTTTATAAATCAAACTGTTTCAGTTCAATGATTTTGTGTTTATTTGAGTAGTGTAGTAAACATGTCGTGTGTATATCAGCACAGCTCGAGTTGACTACCTGAACTAGCTCGCAGACTTTGCTCTATATATGTTTGTTTTACTTATGCATTTTGTCTTGTTATGATTTCAGTGGATCTTTATTTTATACAATATAAGTTTACATATTAAATTAATACATTGTGAAATGTAATGGGTGTACAGGTTTTGTTTCGTCTATCTTTGATGATGAAGGTTTCTGATCTGTGTCTTTTTATTTCCTTTTATTGGGATTAATTTCTGATGTGTGTCTTGTTATATTCTTTGATAATTCGATGTAGTTGAAATAGTTGTGATCCAGGATTAAGTTAAGGTCAAAGGTCATGACCAAGACAGCTTTCATTAACTTTCTCATTGGCTTCTCTTGATAATTTTACAAACCAGATAAGAACATGTGTTTATAATAAGAAACTGTGAGGGAGAAAGTAATTTTATTTCCTGCAAGATTATTTTTTGTCACTGAGCTTGTTTTAATACATGTTCACTGGTAGTGTGTGTGTGTGTGTGTGTGTGTGTGTGTGTGTGTGTGTGTGTGTGTGTGTGTGTGTGTGGATTTCTGTGTCTTCTGTTGTCATGAAGGACAGCTGTCAGTCATCCAGTGTTCAACTCTCAGGACTATAAACTCTCCCAGAGCACTGGAGCATGGTGCTGCTGATGCAAAGTGGCTCTCTATGGAAATGCTCTGACTGACTCCAACAGGGACTTGGATTCCTCTCATGATGCTGTTTATCAATGGATCAATCACTTTATCAGAGTATTGATTAGGAATGTGTCAGTGCTCATTTGTATGAGGCTTTGGTTTCAGTTTGATGGACACATTTTCTTCCAGAATATTTAGTGAATTCCCCCTAATTCACTACCACACAGATCAACATCACTGTGGGACACATTTAAAAATTTATATTATCTGTTATTTACTTTATATTCATCATAATCTACAATAAACATATGTTTATGATAATTATTTACATTTCTAATGATTTATTGGAGAATTTTTCTTTAGAAATATCTTATTTCATGAAAGACAAATCAACAAGCCTTATATTAATACATATTCATAGTTTATGTTTGAGACACTTTAACCAGTTATTAGATAAACTGGGTAAACTGGGAATGTATTTGCTGAGTTTGTTTGTGTCAAAGTCACAGAGAGCCGTGTCTCTCTACAGTGAGAGGTTTTTGTATTGAGTTTTGTACTGAGTTTGTAATGAGTTTGTATCACTGTGGTGGACTTTTGGTGGAGGAACCAGACTGGCAGCAGCAGCAGCAGCAGCTGGGAGCAGAGCAGGAGCCCCGGGGTGCTGAAGGACGGCCACTACAGCTGGAGCAGCACCCTGAGGCTCTCTGCAGACCAGTGGAGGAAGGTGGGCTCTGTGACCTGTGAGGCCACCCAGGGCTCCCAGACTCCGCTCTCAGAGACACTGAGGAGAGACCAGTGTTCCCAGTTCTGACCTGACTCACTGGGACTCTGATACTGGTTTTACTCTGCTACTGCTCTCAGTCTGCACTGTGCAATACACTCTCTCTCTCTCTCTCTCTCTCTCTCTCTTTGTCTCTCTCTCTCTCTCTCTCTCTCTCTCTCTCTCTCTCTCTCTCTCTCTCTCTCTTGCTTGTTTTTAAGTTGACTGTGTCAAAATTTAAACATAATACAAATGTTATCAAATCAACAGTCTCCATGAGATCATTATTCATGAATCATTTCTTACGTATCATTAGCTTCGCCATATATCATATATGTTTAGAAACATTACAAAGATTCATCTGTGCAGCATCACAATAACAGCAAATGTATACTGTTTTTCTAGATTATCTTGAATAGTCTCATAACTTGGCAAAATGTTCTCCTTCTAATGTCACTTCTATCTGCTTTAATAAACATTGTTAATATGTTTAGATAATTTCAATTCAGTATCACTTAATTATGTTACCATTCATGTCTGATATTCATGAGGGTTCATATGCAACGAGGGCTCAAGCTGTTCATAGAAACTACCCCAAACCTCGGCATGAATTAAGAACCTTTTTAAAGATTTTAAGGATTAGATGTAAAAAGCAGCATATCGTCTGCATAAAGATATATACAGTGTCTCTGATTTGCTTTTTTTTAGAAGATTATGAAAATGACTACAGATTCACCAACATGAGAAACTGAATGCCTGATGAATCCCACCAAATTTTTTTTACTAAATGGAATAAGGCACAGAGCGATATGGTGTGGCAATCTTGTGCCAAACTTGAAATGTTTTGCTAATTTGATCATAATTATTATCTTTTGTTTCTGCATACTGTACATGCATTGATTTTATACATACATTGAGCAAATATTCTGTTTTAATCTAAATTATGCAATGTGTGTGTGTGTGTGTGTGTGTGTGTGTGTGTGTGTGTGTGTGTGTGTGTGTCCTCAGTGAAGTGTATCAGTCTCTGCAGTAGCTTCCAGCTGCAGCAGTCAGTTCAGTTTCTGTTCAGTCTGACTGAGGGAGGTTTTTGTACGACGCTTTTTCACTGTGTGAACACATTCTGACTGTTGATGCTATGAACACTCTGACAGTAGTAAACTGCTGCATCTTCAGTCTGGACTCCACTGATGGTCAGAGTGAAGTCAGGGTTTGATCCACTGCCTGTAAAACGACCTGGAATCCCTGATGTTCGATTGTTAGTACCATAAATGAGCAGTTTAGGAGTTTCTCCATCTCTCTGTTGGTACCAGTGTAAATAGTTATTACTATAAACGTTCGGACTGGTCCTACATGTGATGGTGACGGAGCCTCCCAGAGCAGAGCTCACTGCTCCAGACTGAGTCACTGTGACCTGGCCTCTGGACTCTGAGGATACAGAGACAAAAACATAAAGCAGCGTCATGGTTTTGTGGGCTTCATTTCAGAGGGACGGATGTTCATAGAGGAGAGGAGTTTGATTCTCTGGACTTTACCTGTGAAGCAGCAGCAGAGGAGAGTCCAGATGAGGACGGAGATCAAAGTCATGTTTTTGATGAGGAGGATTTCTGTGTCTTCTGTTGTCATGAAGGACAGCTGTCAGTCATCCAGTGTTCAACTCTCAGGACTATAAACTCTCCCAGAGCACTGGAGCATGGTGCTGCTGATGCAAAGTGGCTCTCTATGGAAATGCTCTGACTGACTCCAACAGGGACTTGGATTCCTCTCATGATGCTGTTTATCAATGGATCAATCACTTTAATGGATTGCTGATTTGGAAATACACAACAACTAGTTCATATAATTTTGGTTCTATTGTAATGCATATATGTTTTTTACATTTCAAATTTATTTATGAACATGTATTTTATATAGGAGACAGTCCATCACCACCAGCACTGTGCAGCAGTGGTCGGTGGAGGCAGAGGAGGCCTTGATGGACTGTTACAGGGGTGTGAGGAGCATTACTGGCATGAAAAGGTCAGTAGGTTCAGTAGAGGGGACAAAGGGATGTGCCAACGAGTTAAACCTGTATTCCAACATGTTTGATTCACAAACGCCCTCCACCTCCTCAGGTACCCTGATTCACACCTTGGCTACCCCACCCTCCTCCACAGCTCTCCCTTCTTTACCCAGACGACAGCCTTTTTCCCCCTTAACCCCCCTCCACTTCCTCCCTCCCCGATCCCTTTCCATATTTCCACCCCACCATTTTACTTGCATATTGCATATAGTGTATATGCTTTTCATTTATAGTCTATATTTTCTGTTTTATTTTGCAATATTATTATTTTGCGATTCTTATTATACTTCTTTACTCTTTGCACTACATTGGCCTATGCTGCTGTATCTCATTTGAATTTCTTTTACAGGGGATCAATAAATGTACATATTATCTTTGCTTATCTTATGTTAACAAATATATAAATAGATCTCGGAAGTTTCTGGTAATTGTTATTGTTCTTGTCACATGACAAGGTTTTACAAAAAGAATAATTTTGCTGAGTTTGTTTGTGTCAAAGTCAGAGAGCCGTGTCTCTCTACAGTGAGAGGTTTTTGTACGGCGGCTCAATGAGTTTGTATCACTGTGGTACACGTTCGGTGGAGGAACCAGACTGGATGTTGGATGTAAGTCAAATCTTTAAATTTTTTATCATTTCAGGACATATTTGACTTTTTATATATATTTCAGGAAGAATTCTTGATTTTTCATATTAATGTATATCTTCTGCACAAATACTTTACACTCAGAGACAAACTTTGCATCAGGAATATAAATTCAAAACCTCATTGAAGTCAATTTAAAATATCAAGACCGAATATGAATCAGTATTTCCAACTTTAATGGTAAAGCTTTGTTTTAAATTCAGTTTTTATGTTTTAAATTCAGGTTTTATATGTCTGAAGCAGAGAGATATATCTTGTTTTAATTTTAACACTTGAATTATTCATGTTTGTACTTGTCCTCCTTCATCATGGAGGATAACTCTTTGTTCTTTACACATTCCTGTCAAACTGAAATTCAAACAGCTTGAAGTGTAGAAAAGATAAAACTGCTAAACGTTTTGTACAAATGTTTCATTTTTAAGATTCACTTTTACTTTTTGATATCAGAAACAACTGTTTCTAACTGAATTAAGATAAAATTATTATAGTCAAATTCAACAAACTGAAGATAAAGATGAGTAAACGTTCATAATCTCTTCATAGTGTTGTATATTGTTTTAAAGTTACAGTTTGGTAATGATGATTGAAATCCACATGAAGAACATTTGATTGTAGTCAGTTCATTTTCTGTGTTTGTTCATGTTTCCACTAAATACTTTAAAGTAATGTATAATTCAGGCTTTGGATGATTTTGATGATACAGTTTTTGATATTTTATTTCCAGTGTAGTTATATATTTTTCCGCTCATTCTGTATGATGATTCTCTCTGTGCTGATATGCATGAGAGGCTTCTTAAAGGGAAGTGAAACAATGTGTGAGTGAGTGACTGCTGGAGCAGAAAAAACATCTGACAGAAACTCCTTAAAGGAGAAAATCAACTCTCACACAGTAAAGGTGTCCAAGTGTCTGCTGGCTGATTGACAGCTGTGTGGTCCCTGTCCTCTAAGCTGATTGGTGTCTCCTAGGTGATGTCCGTCCCACCCTGACGGTGCTGCCCCCCTCCAGTGAGGAGCTGCAGCAGGGGAAGGCCACGCTCATGTGTCTGGCCAACAAGGGCTTCCCCTCAGACTGGAGTCTGTCCTGGAAGGTGGACGGCAGCAGCAGCAGCAGCAGCTGGGAGGAGAGCAGGAGCCCCGGGGTGCTGAAGGACGGCCACTACAGCTGGAGCAGCACCCTGAGGCTCTCTGCAGACCACTGGAGGAAGGTGGGCTCTGTGACCTGTGAGGCCACCCAGGGCTCCCAGACTCCGCTCTCAGAGACACTGAGGAGAGACCAGTGTTCCTAGTCATAACCTGACTCACTGGGACTCTGATACTGGTTTTACTCTGCTACTGCTCTCAGTCTGTACTGTGCAAGACTCTCTCTCTCTCTCTCTCTCTCTCTCTCTCTCTCTCTCAATGGTTTCAAGATTTAAAAATAATAAAGATTTAATAAAATCAACAGTTTTCATGAGAGTATTATTCATTCAGCATGTTTATACATATTTGGAAACATTAGAAAAGTTCCTCTATAATTGTCAGTTGTATATGCTTTAATATACCTTGTTAATTATACCCATGTTTTGATGATTTACAAGATCACCTATCTTTTATCAGTCAAGTCTGAATATGAGGATGATTCATTATGTAACAACGGTTAGATCTGTCCCTTGAAATTGTCAAAAATCTTTACCAAAATTTTCAAAGAAAATTCAGATAGAGATTTTCATAGTTAGATACACAGAGCAGCGCATCATCTGCATCAAGTGATATACAATATTTTTGATCTGAGATTTTCCTCCAAGAATATTAAAACCCCAAATTACTGATTAACCACAGGACTTCATGAATGAGTTGATAACACTTACAATCAATAAAAAACAATTAATTAAATAAGAATAATAAATGATAATTGTACTGTTTTTTGCACTGCTATTGGAGTTGGCTTTCTAATCTCATCGTACATGTGTACAGTGACAATAAAGGCATTCAATTCTATTCTATTCTACGTCAAGTCATGAACTGCTGTCATGTGTCAGTCTGAAATTCATTAAATCTACAATGACAAAGTTTGTCTCAGAGAAAGATTGTTAGGATTTGACCATTTCAGCTCATGGCGTCATGAACAAATGATGGGAATGTGTCATACATGCCACAGCTCTTTCAGTACAACCTGACAATAGATGTTTTGCTGTTGCTGTTGTTATTGTAAAATTAACAGACGTTATAATATATATATATATATATATATATATATATATATATATATATATTAATATATAAATATAATCACAATACTTTTAATGTCTGAATTAAATTCTATTTTTGAGGTGGATTCTTATTTAACTAAACACTTTAATTGAATAGTAATATTGTAGAATTACTTTAAATGTAATATTTGAAAGATTGTGAAAAACATTTCATTATTTTGATAAATATATGCAATTTTTGTGTCAATATTTCATCTGTATTATCCTTACTTATTTTGTAAATTGATCTGATAAACATAAAAAACGACCATTAGAACTGACTTTTAATATATATATATATATAAAGAGAGTTTGTTACTCTGTAAACATTGTTCAGCTACTGTAGATGTACAATACATTGTGGGAAAATATTAATTTTATAATATTATTAACTCTAGATATACTTACAGTTACTAACATATATCTGTGTAAACCTGTCTGATGAGAGACTTGACATCAGTTGACTCAAACTCAAAGGTAAATCATTTATCTTTGCCTAAAAAAAGAAAAAAGGAATTTGTGAAATGTGATTGATTATATTAAATGCTGTATTATTAGAATTACATGTAATTATGAGGTGTGTTTTAGTTGTATCTTGTTGCCATTTAGTTTCCATGCAGCTGTTGATTTAGTTCCTCTTAGCTGAGGGAGGTTTTTGTACGACGCTTTTTCACTGTGTGAACGGAAAGCTGTTGTGCTGCTGACAGTAATAATCTCCTGCATCTTCAGTCTGAACTCCTCTGATGGTCAAAGTGAAGTCAGTCTGAACTGCTGTTGCACTGAAACGATCTGAATCTCCAGACTGATGATATGTAGTATCAGAAATCAAGAGTTTAGGAGCTTCTCCAGGTTTCTGAAGGTACCAGTTACTGTCATGATGACATATAATAACCCATGTCAGATGAAGAGTTTCTCATCGTTGGTGATAGTTAATACATTCTGGGATTACATCATGCAGCTAGAAACGAGGTGTGACTGAAGAAATGAAAATAGGTCATTTATATTAAATCATATTTAAATAATGAATAGTGTTTTAAAGATTAGAAACAAAATGTTTTAGTATTGTCAGCATAAGATCAAGCAAGCCAGAAAGTATTAGCCACCATGGGAGATAACACATGAGACAAAAGTGAACACAATCAAAACTAAAGAAATAATACACGAGTTAAAACCACTTGGGAAAGTTACACAATTTTAAGTATACAAATAAAATAAAATAAAATCAATAAGACGTGCAATTTAAAACCATTCATAATAAATTAAGAAAAAAAAATGTCTGAAGAAAATGAATTGGTTTGAAATATAAAGCAGGAGGTAATAATTAGTACAGTACAGTTAGAAATAACAGGATTAGTGAAAAATGTGCATACAGCCTGCTACTTGTGTCTCCCCATACTGGCCCCTACTCATGTGTGTTGGAAAGAGGTGAAACAACATCCAATAACACAAACAGGGCGATCTATAATCCCTTTTGCATTAGAATTAGTATTTAAAGAGCTTCCTTAGCTCAACGAGACTCTGAGACGTATGGGGTAACATCATTTCATTTGGGCGAGGCTGACCTGGACACATGTGTTCCTATCTTAATAATTTAATTTAATGATTTATACCTCTATGTGTGTTTGTATTCATATCTTCATCTTGATAGAGAAAGTAAAATGGATTTTCAACAAGATTATCTTTTACCGTGTTGATACATGTTAAATGGTTGTTTAAGCAATAATGTTGAAATGTGTGTGTGTGTGTGTGTGTGTGTGTGTGTGTGTGTGTGTGTGTGTGTCCTCAGTGAAGTGTATCAGTCTCTGCAGTAGCTTCCAGCTGCAGCAGTCAGTTCAGTTTCTGTTCAGTCTGACTGAGGGAGGTTTTTGTACGACGCTTTTTCACTGTGTGAATATCTGGCTGTTAAGAGTTTTGATACTCTGACAGTAGTAAACTGCTGCATCTTCAGTCTGGACTCCACTAATGGTCAGAGTGAAGTCTGTCCCTGATCCACTGCCTGAAAAACGGTCTGCTGTCCCTGTTGTTCGTTCATGAATTCCATAGATGATCAATCTATGAGGTTCTCATTCCTTTTTTTGGTACCAGAATAGACAAGGGTAATTGGGATTACTCCCACAACCACCATCAACCCCATGACTGCTCCTACAGCTGATGGTGACGGAGCCTCCCAGAGCAGAGCTCACTGCTCCAGACTGAGTCACTGTGACCTGGCCTCTGGACTCTGAGGATACAGAGACAAAAACATAAAGCAGCGTCATGGTTTTGTGGGCTTCATTTCAGAGGGACGGATGTTCATAGAGGAGAGGAGTTTGATTCTCTGGACTTTACCTGTGAAGCAGCAGCAGAGGAGAGTCCAGATGAGGACGGAGATCAAAGTCATGTTTTTGATGAGGAGGATTTCTGTGTCTTCTGTTGTCATGAAGGACAGCTGTCAGTCATCCAGTGTTCAACTCTCAGGACTATAAACTCTCCCAGAGCACTGGAGCATGGTGCTGCTGATGCAAAGTGGCTCTCTATGGAAATGTATGAGAGACTATGTTCTCAGTACTGACCGGACTCACTGGGACTCTGCTTCTATTTTACCTTTCTACAGCCTTAAATCTGCACTTTCTATCATTCCACCATTTTAACAAATACATCAATCAAAAGATATTTTCTTTCGGTGGTCAAATAATTTTTCATGGATCCCTGTTTACCAACAACATATGTCTTATTCCGTATTTTCACATTTGCAGGATTATAACCAATGTCAAAATAAGAGTTTCATATCATTGTTGATAGTTAATACAAACTATGAAAAAAAGATAAAAATAAAAGTAACATAGCATGAGTAAAAAATGTGCACACAACCTGTGTCGTCAGGTTTCCCCATACTGGACACTTTTTGTGTTTAACGTGTATGTGCACAACAACTTATGTGGATGTTCATATTAATGTTTATAAAAAACAACTGACTTATGTTGGAAACTCTTTCTAGTTAAATCTAGACAGCTAAATCTCTCTCAAACATGTGATTGAGGATATTCAACCTCATCTGCTGAAGACTTGGTCAAACCTGCAAAACTGGAATGAAAAGAAATCTAAAATATACATGCTGAACATGCATGGGTTGACTACCAAACTGCTCTTTCTTGCTTGCTTTTAAGTTGATTGTGTCAAAATTTAAAAATAATTCATGTCTGATTTTCATGAGGGTTCATATGCAACGAGGGCCCAAGCTGTTCCTAGAAATTACCTCAAACCTCTGCATGAATAAAGAACCTTTTTAAAGAGGATTTTAAGGATTAGAGGTAAAAAGCAGCATATCGTCTGCATAAAGTTATACACGTCTCTGAAAGGCTTTTTTCTGAGATTATGAAAATGAGTACAGATTCACTAACATGAGTTGACAACATTTACAGTCAATAAGCATCAGCTCATTAAATAAGTCTTGTCATCAACTGCTGGTATGTGTTGCTGTCTGAAATCCTTAAACATATATAGACAGAGTGTGTCTGAGTAAATGATTCATATGACTTTATTATTTTAGCTCACAGTGATGCATTACCCACCACAGTTTTGTGAACAGTTGATGGGATTGTGTCATACATGTTACATCTGATTGCTCTGTCAGTACAGCCTGAATGCCTGATAAATCCCATCAAATTCTTTTCACTAAATGGAATAAGGCACAGAGCGATATGGTGTGGCAATCTTGTGCCACACTTGAAAATGTATTACTATTTGTTTATAATTATTATTTACTATTGTTTGTTTCTGTGTACTGTTCATGTATTGATTTTGCACATACATTGAGCAAATATTCTTTTTAAATCTAAATCATGAAATGTGTGTGCGTGTGTGTGTGTGTGTGTGTGTGTGTGTGTGTGTGTGTGTGTGTGAGTGTGAG